CGCCCTCCTCTCGCGGGGGCAGGGCCCGCAACGGCTGCGGGGGGGGCACCGAGCTGCTCGGGGAGCGGCGGTACCGCGCCGCGCTACGGGCGCCCTGGCTGGGGGCACCCCCCGCAGATCTCCCGCTGGTTCCAGGGGAGGAGGGGGGTAGGAGTTCGGGGCGCTGCTGGGCGCTGGGGGTGTCCGGGTGGGACTGGCAGGAGGCGCCCAGGGTTCGGTGCTCCGTCCGTTCTCGTTTCCTTGCCGTTAACTGAAGGAGAGCACGGGATGAGTCATCGGCGCTGGACAGCCCGATGGGACCCAGCTCTCTGCCACTCATTCATTCGTATTTTGTGCTCCACGCTGCCCACAGGTTGGCTTTCTTAAGCTGAATGTTCCAAACTGTGTTTCTGCTGTATGTGCTTCAAGTGTCACACTGCTGAATCTTCTCCTCTCCCTCATGCTGCCAGTGCTTGGCTTCAGTTCCCTTATCGCACTGTCCTCCTGCTGCGGTGCCCCGTGGTTTGCTGCTGCTGGAGGCATGCAGGCACAGTGCAGCAGCTCACCCAGCAGGTGTGGGTGCTATCTGCCACTGTCACTGCCCAGGCTGGCTGCGGTGGTGGGCAGATATTCTATGTCATAACGTATAGCACATCCCGCGGGCAGCAGCAGGAGGAGGCCACGATAACCCAACTGTTGGCTCCCCCCCTTCTGGCAGCACTTTGGTATTGTCACATCAGGAGCAGTGCAAAAATGTTACGCTTGGCACTGAGTGTGGTGGTTATCATCTCTGCAGGTGGCCATGGGCTGGCATGGTGTGTCATCGTGAGGGTGCAGGCTGCAGCCCAGCCCGTGCACGGGGCACTGCAGTGTGCCTCAGTGTGCCACAGATTGCTGCTGTGAGCAGGGCACACACTGCCTGCCCGCAGCACAGGAAGCACCGCATCGACTGCTGGCGTGTTAAAGACATGGCAGATAAAAGCCGTTGTCTTTTATTCTCAATTATTCCTCATTATTCCATCTGCTGAAAATTGGGTGAGCAGACAGGTGGTGAGAGCAAGGAGTGGGAAAGAGAGCAGCCACTTGTGCACTGTTTGTAACCGTGGGGAATAGTGTTGTCTCACTACAGCTCTCACTACTCACAGAAGGGGCTTGGTTTCTGCAGGGGAACGTGCATGCTGTGAGCAGTGCTGACCGGACTGTAAGGAATGACCCAGGTCTCCTCACTGCTTGTTCAGCCAGCGAGTTCTCAGCACAGTGCATGGAGCGGTTGTTGAAATGCTCTGCTCCTGGGAGAAGCACTGTGCCCTGCACCTGTCAGAGCTGGGCAGTCTGCAGAGCAGTGATGGGAGTGTGGAGAGGAGAGGAAGGGCCTCGGGGAGAGACCTCTGGGCCTTGAGAACAGCAAGACCTGTGTGTTCATTGCTACTTACAACATGAATCCAGAGCGGTTATTTCTTGTGGTTTTGGAGAGCTAGGAATCAAAATATGCAGATTTGCTGGTGATTTTGATGGTTCCTTCATGGCTGTCTTTGTGCTGATAAGGCCATGTTGGCTGGTTCTTGGGCCTTCTCTGAGTGGGTGGCTCTTGTTGCCTCTTTCAAGAGGGAAGGTTGCACCCCCAGGACGTTGGTCAGGACGTGCTGACCAGGATTGATGGGCATTACTCCTACCCCAAAGCAGTCATATTTCAGGCAAAAGCTGAGAGAACCAGATGTGTTGCTTCCTGCCCTCCTTTCTGGGAGCCACTGCAGGGGCAGAGTGGCAGGATGATGGCAGCATCCCCTCATGCGCCACGGGGCCGTTTGCAGCAGCCAGCAGCATTTGTCCTTGCCCACGTGTCCCAGTCACTGCAGCCTCTTCTGCTGTGGGACTTCCCTTCTTTTGGTTCATCTTGCACTGGTGTCATGGAACTGCCTGGCCTCTCAACCTGTTTCTTGGGTTTCTGGGTGCAGCACTCATGCTGCTTCCTTGTGCAGATGAGATCCCATGGAAGCGCTTCTCCTCTGTTTGAACTCCCCCATTCATTACAGTTCTGTTCTCTTCTCCCTCAGACTCTTATTTCAAATCATAGAACCATAGACTGGTTTGGGTTGGAAGGGATGCTAACGCCCACCCAGTTCCACCCCCATGCAACAAGCTCAGGCTGCCCAGGGCTTCATCCAACCTGGCCTTGAGTGCCTCCTGGGATGAAGCACCCACAGCTCTCTGGGCAGCTGTGCCAGTGCCTGAATTCTGCCCACAGTCTGCACTCTATTTATTCCCTCCTTGAGAAGTGCTCTGACATTCGTAACCTCTGAGTGTTGTTACGAAGTTGAGGTGGTGTGGTAGAGAAGAATCTGGCCATGACCTGAATGCAGCAGCGTGAGTCTCACTGCTGTGCTGTCGATCTCCTTTGTGTCCCTGTTGCCTGCTGCATTTCCTCTGCGTGGCTGCGCGCAGCTCCTCCCTTTGAATCACAGACCTGCTGAGCATTTCTGTGTTAGCAGTCCAGGGCAGAAATTACTGTTGAAATAAACCCCGCTGTTGTACTTGGTGTGCCCCATGGTTATTTTTAAAGCACCTCAAGCCCATTATTCATCAGATGAACTACTTCAGGACTCAGGTCGCTGTGTTCCAGTACTTCACCATTAGGACTGAGCGTCCTAACTATGTGTGATCCACCTTCCAAAACTGAGAGGCAGATCCCTCTGCCAGCCATCCCATTACAGGCGGGCTCCTGGCCCGTGGGAGAAGGGCTAATCCTGCAAATGGATTGCTGATGGACATCTGCTGAGGCAGTTGTACCCCTGCAGCTGTAAAGCAGGTATTAACAGTGCGTGTTTGGAGGCTGCCTTACTACATTTTTG